TGTTGTGACGGTGTCTCGGTCATGTTTTGATGGTGCCCTGGTCATTTTGTGATCGTGTCCCGGTTATGTGATGATGGTGTCCAAGGAAGAGATGGTCGATGTGTTGAAAACAGCAGCTGTTTCCAGATTTTTCTTTTTGTCCCGGTTTGTATCTTGCTATTGGGGTCTCCAGCTGGGCTAATTTGTTTCCCACTTCTTTTCACTTGTCTCCCAGTTCTTTTCATTTGTCTCCCAGGCTGGGTGCTTCTGGTCGGGTTCCCGGCTGGCTTGTCTCCCACTTCCTTTTATTTGTCTCCTCTTCTTCCCAGCTTTGGACTGCTGTGTCCGCCTCTGCCTTGCAATCCTTTACTGGGCTGCTGTGTCCGTCTCTCGCTTGCAATCCTTAATTTTACATGTGTCTCCCAGCTCTGACTGCTGTGTCCGCCTTTGCCTTGCAATCCTTTACATGTGTCCTCGCAAGCCTTTGCATTTGTCTCCATCTCGCTTGCACATTTGTCTCATTTGTCTCCCAGCTCTGGACTGCTGTGGCCGCCTCTGCCTTGCAATCCTTTGTCTCCCAGCTCTGGACGTCGCAGGCTGCAGAGTGTTCCGATTCGAAAAACACAAACTGTTTGGGGTCTACGGTGGTGTAATGCTTTGTCTCCCGTTGTCTCTCTTTGTCACCCCCTGTCTCACATGGCATGTCTGGAAGCTGGGCTGAGATCATTTTGCTTTGTCTCCCTTTGTCTCCCCTTGTCTCGCATGGCGTGTTTGGATGCTGGGCTGGGATCACTTTGCTTTGTCTCTCCTTGTCTCTCCTTGTCTATGTCTGGATCTTCTCTCCTTTCTCCTTCTCTCCTTGCCACTTCCCGTGCCACCCTCTTGTCCCTTCTCTTCTCCCTTGCCGCCCTGTTCTCCCTTCTCTTCTCGGCTGGGATGACTTTGCTCTCTCCTTGTCTCCCATGGCGTGTCTGGATGCTGGGCTGTGTCTGGATGCTGGGGTGAGATGACTTTGCTTTGTCTCCCTTTTGTCTCCCATGGCCCATGGCGTGTCTGGATGCTGGGGTGAGATGATTTTGCTTTGTCGCCCTTTGTCTGGCCAGCCTGCTGCCTGATGCTTGGGATGGAATCTTGGAAGCGGCTTGTGTGCCTCCTGATGCTCGTGGTAAGTTAAAGGATTGGGCTACATGACGCAGGAAGCATTTCAGCGTAAAGATGATGCGACCTCCGACCTTTGACAGTTTTGCAAAGCATTTCCTGCCGCGTCAGCTCAAGCCGGATGGCGTCGCAGAAGAGTCCTGGTCATTTCACCCGCTGGTTGGTGTCCTGCGAACGCTTTGGAAGACAGCTTCAGCGCCATCAGCTGTCCCGACATCTCCAAGTTTGGCCTTGGCAACTCCATCTTTGTCGGGAGGGCTGACAGGGGCACTAGTGGGGCAGGGCAGAACCATCACCGTTGCTGATCGTGATGCCATGCGCCGAAGTTTGGAAAACAAATGTACGGGAACTTTGGTGAGGTTGGCCACACTGCCTTCCATTTCACTTTTGCAGCGAGTCGAGGCTCAGCAGGATAGCAAGGCTTGGGATTGGATTTGTTGGAAGAGGTTGCTGAGTGAAAAGGCGGTGACGGCTATGAAGGGCCGTCGGAAGACAGATCCCCATGAAGCCTTCATGGAAGCAGCCCCGCGCAAAGTCCAATTGTTGCTGCAAGTTCGCGCACGTGCCTACTTTTCAGGCCTCTGCGAAAAACCTTTGAAAAGCTGACCAAAGATTGGGGCCTTGTACATCGCTTACGTGCCCATGTTGCCAGCGCGGTTTCTGACAGCTTGCTCTCCGACACCAGGCTCTTACATGTGAGACAGGAGCTGGTCAATTTTTTGCAAGGGCACAACTATTCTTGTGATGCAGAGATCGCGCCAGGCCAACCTTTTCTTTTGAATGCTTGGCATGCACTAGGCCAGATGACTACGGATGTGGACAGCAAACTGCCGCAATTGCTTCAGGCAGGCGTGCCTACTGGAGTTTCCAAGCGCATCGATTTCTCAGGTGTCTGGGAACCAGTCGCGAGCGATGCCGATATTGAACAGGAGCTGTTGGTGCACCGCGAACCTTGGGAGTGCACACAAATGCCCAGAGACCACTTGGGAATTGATCGACAAAGCTTTACGCGCCGGGCATCTGCGTGAGCTGGTTGGTGGAGAGGCCGAAGCTCGTCTCCTTTGGGGCAAGCGCGTGGCTGCAGGCAAATTTGGCGTTGTGTATGCTGAAGGGCGAAAGCCTCGCCTCATCGGTGATGGCACTGTGTCTAGAACGAAAGATGCGTGTCAGAGCCCTTACTGACCTTGGAATGCATGCAACGTTTTTTGTCCATGGCCCGTGTGGATTCCGCATGGACAGCCTTGACTTGGGACGTTCGCGGTGCGCGCAAACAGGTTCGCGTGGCCGCCGAAGAGCAGGGCTATAGCTGATTCGTTTACGAAAACCGCTGATTCTATTATGTCTGCTGCTATTTTGGTGCACGTTGGAACGCATATTGGTTGTCAAGAGAGGGGGCCCTTGTGATGCGGCACCTGCGTAGCTTCATTTTTGTTCGACAAGGCGGGTTTCTATATGTGGAGGACGGGGTGTGCCTTTTTCCTCGCCAGGTAGCCCCATTGCTTGCGTGTGTGGCACTCCCATTTATGTGCGCCCTGGGCATTCCGTTCTCATGGGAGAAGATGAAGTTTGGCGAAACCTTCGTTTGGCTAGGCTGGCAGTTTGATCTGTGCTCTTTTGAGGTTCGTATTCCAGAATCAAAAGCAACCAAGTTCCTGCAAAATTTGCGCGCGCTCTGTCGTGCAGAGAAGAAGGTGGAGCGGCGACTCGTAGAGCGCATCGTGGGCATGCTGCTTTGGTTTGCTGGCGGTTGTTGGTGGCTCAAGCCGTGGCTAGAGCCCCTCTACCGCATTTTGCAGAAGCCGCGGGCAGTACCTCGACTGGTGAACATACAACAGTTCGGGGAGATTGTGCGGGGAGATTGTGCGTTCATTGGATGACAAAAATGCATGTGGGGTCACACGTCATGTCATGCATGCTCGGGGTGGCAGTTGCATTCAGTTCCCCTGTCATAACCGCTTCACAGCCCTCGAGTTCGCAGTGGGCAGATTAGTGTAATGTTTTTCGACCAAGAGAAGCCGAACACAACTGCCCGCAAAGAATCAGCGTGGGCAGCGCAGTTGTTCTACAATGCCCTTACTCGTCACATTGGCTGTCAGTCGCGCATTCGTGAGCATGAATGGACCATTTGTGTTGCAGACGCTTTTGCCACAGAGCGTGAGGCTGGAATTGGTGGGTGGTGGGTTCCAGATGGCTTGGAATCGATTTCAGCTAACGCGTGGTGGTTTTGCTTTCAGTTTACTAAAGCTCAGCTGCCGCGCTGGTTCAGCTCTCCAGGGAGCTCTTTGATACAATCCTGCATTGCAGCATTTCAGGCATTGGCTCAATTAGTGTTGTTGCTGCTTCATTACCGCAACATGGGTCTTTTGTGCTTCGGTTCGCCCACCTAACGGACAACCAGAGTGTTTCCTATGGCTCTGGGGTTCTACTCGTGTCAGCTGAGGGTATCACTCACTTGCAGTCCTGCGGCTGGTGTGGGAAACCATGGGCTGTCGCGCTCGGCTACAATGCAGCGCCGCCCGGTTTTCTGCCGCAGCCGGCGCAGTTTGGTCGCGACAGAGGTGTTGTCACGACCTTGGTGTTGCAAGCCCCATGCCGTACAGGGGAATTGTCCTGTAGCTTGCAATGGTGCCACTTTGGCAGGGTGGTACCTGCAAGGCTGGTTGGCCCTGTGTGTCATCCATTGCAAGAGAAAGGGCACAAGGGGTATGGAGGCTGGCCAACTGCTGTTCAAGTGCAGCAGCGCGCGAACCCTCCTCCCACCTTGCCCCTTGTTTGGTTGTATATATATATATTATTCAGATCTTGTTCTGGCATGGTGCTGCATGGGCAGCTTGCAGGCAGGTGAAAGCTGCCTCATTTGCAGTGCTCTTGAGTTTGGTGGCCTGCCAGCCTTGCAATGCTGGTTGGCCCTGTGTGTCATCCATTGAAAGAAAAAGGGGGGTATGGAGGGTTCCCTTTGTCTCTCTTCGTCTTCCCTTATCTCCCCTTCTATGGCATGTCTGGATGCTGGGCTGAGATGATTTTTTCTTTATCTCCCTTTGTCTCTTGACTGCCGCTGCTGTTTGGGGTCGATGCTGGTGTAATGTAATGTAACATAATGTAACGTAATGCAATGTAACGCAGTGTAATGTAGTGTATGTATGTGTGTATGATGGAGGGATGGGAGGGAAGGAGGGACGGACGGATGGACGGGCCGACGGAGGGATGGATGGTATATGAATATGTACGCGCATTTTTTTGGCGTATATGTTTGAATGTATATGCGCACCCGAGATATTTGTTTTCGGCGAAATTAATTTTGGGACGCCAACAGGTCCTATACAAATCGCGTGGAACACGCTTGTTTCTTTGAAGTAATTTGCGCTTAGTTGGGTGCAATTTTTCTTGCAGGTTGGATTGTTTTGGCCCGCTTTGTTTTGGACCTACTTGTGCTGCAGGTGCGTGACTTTCTTGTGATGGATGGTGTGCCAGAAGCGCACGATGTATTACTTCGGAAGGGTTTGCTGCACCAATGGACGCCGGGCATGAGCGTGATTTTTGTGTCACACCAATGGCTAGGCAGTGTGCACCCAGATCCCGATGGACGACACGCGGCTGTTTTGCAGGGTGCCCTGCAAGGAGTTCTAAACGGATTCTTGGCGCATTCAGTAAATGTCAGTAAGGGGTAGGGGATCATTTGGATGACGTACTAGCTGCGCGCGCTGGCTTTGCTCCCATGTCGACTGATGTTTTAATGCGTCTTAGATATTTCCAGTGGCAATTCCAGTAAGGATCCTTGCAAATAGAGCTGGATGTTGCTTATGATACGACTATTGGGTTTGAAGATGTGGCATCTTGGCTTAGTCCCTTTGTTGTGGGGCCGCTGTGCCTTTTGTAAATGGTGGGTACATACCCGCTAGCTGGCTAGAGAAACAACAGTGAGATAAGTCTTCGCATCCGAGGTGGAGTATGCGCGGCAGCAAGTCCTTGCGGGCTACATTTTCTTGGATTGGTTTGCCATTCCCCAGATCACAGCTCGCGTCGAAGGAGTGAACGAAGAGAGCACCAAGAGTGATGCTGCACTGGCCGTTCAGAGCATTCCGTTCTACGTTGAAACATCGAGCATATTCTTGGCTTTGGTGCCTGAGGTAAAACATCATGACACCAGAAAGTATTGCAATTACGCATCATGGCTTTCGAGGGGATGGTGCCGCGCCGAGCTGTGGTGCCATTTGTTGTCCAACAAACCCGTTACTCAGGCAAAGGGATGAAGAGCAGCGTCATTGGAACTTTGGTTTATGGGTTCGCCTGCTAGCAACTAATAGGTGCTTGCAATCCGATAATTTGGGCCTGTCACGAAATACAAGGTGAAAGAGATGGGCGCGGGGGGGGTTCGGCTGGCGGGTTTTGGCTAAAGCGGGGTTCTTGCTGTGCAATGATGCCTTAAACCCTAAATCCCAAACCCCCCACCCACAGGTTCGACTCCCAGCTGCGCCGTTTGAGCAGGTCTACGTCGTGTTCTTTCTGCCAGCTGTTTCCTTAATATTTACACGCCGCTGGCGTGCGCCGCCCACGGCAGAATCCTGTTAGTTGAGCGTGTGTATGTAGGTTTGGTGTAAACAGTGGTTGTGGTTGGTGTAAGCCGTGGTTGGGTGTAAACGCGTAAACCGTGGTTGGGTAGTAACGGTGGTTGGTGTAAAGCGTGGTTGGGCGTAAACGGTTCTTGGTATAAACCGTGGTTGGGTGTATACGGTGGTTGGTGTAAAGCGTTGTTGGGTGTAAACGGTGCTTGGTATACACCGTGGTTTGGTGTATACGGTGGTTGGTGTATACCGTGCTTGGTTTAAACCTTGGCTTGGTGCAAACGGTGGTTTGTGTAAACCGTGGTTTGGTGTAAACGGTGTTTGGTGTAAGCGGTGGTTGGTGTAAACCGTGGTTTGGTGTAAACGGTGGTTGGTGTGAGCCGCGGTTTGGTTTCAAGGGTGGTTGGTGTAAACCGTGGTTTGGTGTAAACGGTGGTTGGCGTAAACCGTGGTTTTTGTGTAAGCGGTGGTTGGTGTAAACCGTGGGTTGGTGAAAACGGTTGTTTGTGTAAACCGTGGTTTGGTGGAAGCGGTGGTGTAAACGATGATTGGTGTACCATGTTTTGGTGTAAACCCTGTAGGTGTGGCCATATGAGCAACAGCTTTTATTTGCGGTAGTCAAGATTAGTGGAAGGGGCGTTCCTTTTCTATACTATAGCCCAATGTCAGATTTAGTTAGCGAAACGAGGTAGGAACACCCCGAGAATGAGATTGGCATCAATTGCGCCATTTGTTTGAAATGGTTTAGTTAATGACATGTTTAGCTGGTGAAACGAGGTAGGAACACCTCTCGAGAACGAGATGGGTATACATTGCACAAAACAGATACAGGAATGGAGAACGAGATTACACCCCAAAAACGATGCGAGATTGGAGAACGAGGTAAGGAAGGCCCATGTGATAACTCAACGGAAATATTTTCCATCGCTCATATGCGCTTTGGAGCTTGGGCGCTGGTGTTAGTGCAGGGTACCGCTGCGACGTGTCTTTGGCTGTGTGCGCTTTAGAGGCTGGGTGCTGGCGAGTGCCGCTGCTGTGTCCTGCCCACAAAAGCCTTGTTGCTATCTGGGGTCTATGCTAATGTATTTGAATTCTATTGCTAGTCCTGTCTGGCTTTTGCTGCTGCTATGGCGCTGCTGCTTGGTGGTGGTGGTGGTGGTGGTGGTGGTGGGCGTGGAGCGCTGACGCCAGATCGTATCCCTCACAACTCCATATACAACCTTGTTCATTTCCGTGTCCAACACACTTGAGTATACGAGAAAGAGTTCACTTGATAGGTTGCAGGTCACCTGACATGCTTTTGACAAGGTTTTGCCGGTACATTCGTTACGTAACTTTCGAGACTGATCCAACTCTACGTGTTGGCTCAAATGTAATTTCATATGGTAGTGGAGCCCGCAAGGGGCAGTAGGATCACAGTGCATCATATTTCTTCTGGTTCTGTTGACCTTTTTCACCAGTAGAGATTGAAGCCATGGAAGAACCTGCAGACCAAGCGGGTACGCCACACCGGGCGTCAGTGCAGGTTCATCCCAGAATCGTAAAGATCCAGAGATTGAAGTCCCAGGCGTGCCTTCCAAAGTTGAGACGAGTGGGATGTGATTCCCATAGCGATCGACTCAGGTGACGCTGGATCTCGTCAGCCAGATCATCCTCCACCTGGCTGGGTTGAGCCGCATCCACCAAGCCATTCGCCGCCAAGTCCTCGAAGCCCAGATGACCCGCCTGCAAGGCATACGTCATCAGATCCCCCATCGAGCTTGGCCAAACGACAGTAGCGAAGAAGGCAGGGTGCCTTTCATGTGGAGAAAAAGAGAAACGAGGAGCTTTTCATTGGACTCGAATTGTGTAGTCGCTGTGTGATGCTCCTATAATCCCCGTGATGTTTAGCAGGAGTATGCATTCACAGTAGTAGATCCGCGTCGACTTCATTTGACGAAGCCGGATGGGTCCTGTGATTGCAACATCCACTATGGAGTGGTGGTGACAGTTTGCCGCCAGTGTATCTGCAACTAAGGAGCTCAATGTCGAATGCATGCCATGTTGAGCTCGGTAAGAAAGAACTTGTTTGATGAAGATTTAGCGTCGTAAGTTGCTTGAAGCTTGAAGAGAAAAGTGGAAAATGACAACTTGTTAGCCTGTTCGACGCGTGCTTGCTGCCCAGTGTTCGATCCAGCCGAAGCCGATTCAATCCAGGAGCGATTGAATTAACTATAAGTCGAGTGAACTTGGAAGAGACAAGATCGAAGATCCTTCTCCTTGCAATCTTGCGCCCAGTTGCTCGGCTTTTGCAAACTGGCGCCCAATTGCCTGGAAGGAGGCGAGTTCATCTAACGAAGAGTGAGCAAGGTTGTGGGGGGGCGAGTGGAGCACTGACACCAGATCGTATCCCTCGCAACTCCATACAACCTTGTTCAAATCCGTGTCCAAACACACTTGATTATGAGAGAGAGAGTTCACTTGATAGGTTGCGGGTCACCTGACCTGCTTTTCACCAGGTTACGCTTTGAGACTGATCCAATGCTGGCTCAAGCGGTGAGCGGAAAAGAACGCTGCAGCCACTCTGGGCGGGAGGGCAGTCGCGTGACTGTTTGAACTGAAGTGTAACTTCATAGGTGGTGTGTGGTGGTGGTTAGTGCTGCTGCTGCTGCTGCTGCTCTTGGTTGGTGCTCCTGCTGGTGCTGCTTTGCTGCTGCTTTGCTGCTGCTGCTGCTGCTGCTGCGGCTGTTGCTGGTTGCTGCTGCTGCTGCCGCCGCCGCCGCTGCTGCTGCCCCCGCTGCCGCCGCCGCTGCTGCTGCTTTGCTGCTTCGTGCGGCTTGCTGCTTGGTGCTGCTGCGGCAGCAGCTGATGCGGCTGCAGCTGCTGCGGAGGCTGCCCCTGCTGCGTGCTGCGGCGGCTGCCCCTGCTGCCTGCGGCGGCTGCTGCCCCTCTGCTTGCTGCCTGCTGCCGCCACTGCTCTGCCGCTGCTGCTACTGCTTGCTGCTCCTGCTGCTGCTGCTGCTGGGCTGCTGAGCTGCTGCTGCTGCTGCTAAGCTGCTAAGCTCTATCTAAGCTCGGTACCTTTCGTCCACATCCACCGCCTCAGGTACAGTGGGCCTTACCTTCATTATTTATAATTGATCCCACTTCATTCAAACACCGATGGTAAGTTGACGCAAGGATGGAGATTTGACCTCAACGACCACAGTGCGGATAAAGAAACCGCCAATGTGTTTTCGCTAGCTTTCGGCCCCATCCCTGGCCTCAAATTTGATTATAGTTGCTTGCGCAATTTTGTCTCTGTAGTGTTCACATTTGCGAGCCCTGTTCAGGTCATCGTGGTTTACTCCACCAAAGAGGCACAATTCATGTACCCTCGGGATTGGCAGGAGGGGCAACAAAAGGTCCGCGCACAGTGTGTCTCATGTCGCGCATGAATTGGGAAAGGCAGTGGTCAGTAGTCAGTACCTCCAATACGCCCAACATATTGACAGCAAAAAATTGATCTGAACTATAAAATTTTGGACGGCTATAGAGAAGACAACTGTGGTTGAAAGTTGGAAGTTGCGGTTTGTAAGCTGTTTTGTTCATGCCATGTATCATGTTTGCCTCATATTCAACCGTCCTTGTCCAACCCTGCAGGAAAATAACATTGTCGAAGGTGACTTTACAGTGGAAAGCGACCGCGATGTGGTCAAGAAACTTGGAGAAGTAGCTGTGGAACACAAGATTCAGAACCTGTCTACTGCAGGCCCCTTAAGCCTGTATCGATTTTTTTTGGCTCGACGATCTCGGATGTTGGGGCAGCCTTCTTTAACTTGGGAGGTTGATGATTTTTTGCACCATTTCAAATTCCCTGACTTGGAATCCGCCACCACTGACAAGAGCAGCATGAACGCCCTTCTATGTGCCACCTTCTCCGGCGACGTGGAAATGGTGCGCTTATTGGCGCACAAGAAGGCCGACCTCAATGCCAACCTACATGGTTTGGAAAAGCTTGGCTTTCCAGATGTTTGGAATCTGTTGATAGCCGCCCTGGAGTCGCGACAATCCCAGAAGATGATGCTTGGTGAAGTTCAGGTATCCTGCTCAATGCTGTTTGTTCTTCTATTTTTGGGCCCGAGATGACATGTTTTCCCAATGTGCCGAGTGCTGCGTCAGGATCAACACTTTGCTGGACTTGGGTTGTGACGCCAACTTTTGCACATGGGATGGTTCAAGTGTGGCGGGCTTCGCAAAGAGTCCGCAGCAGGTTGACGAACTGTCGCGTGGTCGCGCTGACCTGCACACTGCTGGCATGCCCTTAGGCATGACTCCCTTGGCCCTAGTGGCTGGCATGTCCAACCTTGAGACAGTGTCGGCTTTGTTGCAACATCGTTGCGATCCCGACCCCCCTTTGTGTGGCTTGGGCGTTACCCCGCTGATGTCTGCAGTGCTGCTTGCCCGAGGCAACTGCCGCGGGGTGGAGATTGTCCGTACATTGTTGGAGGCCAGAGCCAATCCCAACGTGGCTGCAAGACCAACTGGGGCAATGTGGTTGACCGAAGTTGCAGTTGCCAGGGCCAAGGTTGGGTGGGACAAGAGGTGGATTTCCGGAAAACTGGGTTTCAGTGTTCATGAGATAGTTTCAGCTGAGCCATCGGGTTCCCCAAGGACTTTGATTTGTGGGTTTGCTCAAACTTTGCCTTTGAGCTTTAGCAGTTCCAAAGCCCAAGCCCATGCATGTGGATTCCTTGATTCTCCTCGCAATCAAGTGGCCGGCGTGAATTTTTTTCCATGCCTTAGCCACTTCTGGCGATGCCTAGTCTTTGGCCCTAAACCTACTGTGTGAGTAAAATGTTGTGTTTAAGGGAAAATCGATGAACTCATAAATTAAACGGGCAAGTGATCTGATATTAGTCACCGGGTCGTGTTTGGTGAGAAACGTAAAAGGAACAATATATGTATATATAAACTGTACTACTGCGTGCGTGCTGTACAAATTAGGGAGGTGCTCATTGTATTGATGACGCAATTGTGAAAATAAGGTCTTGAATTGCCATTCCAGTTCGAGTGCTCAGTTCACATAGAGTGTCGAGTTCAATTTAGAGTTTCCAACTCACATAGACAGTTCGTTTCAGATATAGTGTTAATATCATCTGATCATTTAATTCATATAGGGAAATTGTTTTTGTTTTGCAGTGAATCTTGATTTCAATTTGTAAAATGGTTTCCTCAAATGATGTCAGTACTAACTCGAGTCTGGAGTTAATCAGAGGGGGAGGTGCTCCGGCTTTTTGTATCAGAGTTTCATGCATAACTCTGCTATGGCTGTGAAAGGGAGATAAGGTTGCGAACTATGCCAACCACTTCATTAGCTCTGCTGTACACAAAATCCTGCTGTTTCTTTGTTTCTATCAAAAAAAGTAATAACATTGAACTTTTAAACTTTGCGGAATCCTCTTAATTGAAAAACATTCAGAAGATGTGGCCTCTGTGGGTTCCAGTGCTTCAAGGGCATAAAGAACGCGAGAAGTAATGACTGAGTTGTAGACAAGAAGTTTCCACATTTTGCTACAACTGGTTTAATTCCAGAAAATGTTAAGGCGTCTCAAAACTGGCATTGTGGCCGGCGTGGATGTTGCTTGAAATTCTAGTAGCGTGCAGCAGGATGTGATGTGTAGGGCTGGTTGGTTGGTTGGGGTGTTTTGCTTTGTGTAAATGTGAGGAACACATCCGAAGGCAAGACGTAATCTATATCCTTACGGGCTTGGCGTCAAAGCCGACCATCTCAGTGCCTGTCTCAGGTGGCTCTATTGGGTCGTGAGACGTGCACCAGGAAGACACGTTCCTTTGCAACCCTACCAGGATCCACAGTCTTGTCGACGGCCGCAGGTATAGGCAGTGAGGAGCTTGTAGAGCTGTTGTTGAGCTACGGGGCATACCCTCAACCCAATGACCGTGGTGAAACCTGTGAGTTTTTGGCAGAAGCCGATGGACACTACAATGTGCTGCCATGCTTCAGAACCTTTGCCGCTTGAGCTGTGCAGATTTACCTTTTCTCTCCCGTTCCTGTTTTGCACCTTCGCATCTGATGCCGCAAACGCGGCAATTTTTTCTCTGGATATTGACTGACCTGGTGCTTGGGACGGAAAATGTCAGCGTTCTGACAACAAGGTCATCCCTCGGTTTTTCTTTGATGAAGCAATGAGGTCGGTCTCAACAGACAGCCAAATGCAAACACCCAGGGCCATGTCTTGCAGCTTGACGTCATGGCCTAGGTTTTGGATGGTTTTGGGCTCAAGTAGTCCCAAGTACTGTAGGGGAGATGGCGTGAGAGGCTAGCGCGTGAAAGCAGATTATATAGTGAACTTTCATGTGCCTCCTTGTTTTTTGGAGCCTTGCATCTCCCGAACAAGAGCATCGGAAGGAAATGCTGCGCTGCTTCGCATCTCCCTGGGCCACCCACCAGAAAAGGTTGGAGCTTTTCTCTGCAGATAGAACGGTCAGGAAGCTTTTCACTCCATGCATGTGTGCAGTTCTCAATTGCTCTGGTTGCTGTTTGCAAGGTTGCACAGGAAAGAAAACCCATTGCAGACCGGTACTTTCCAAACTTTTCTGGCTGAGAAATCATAGCGAGGAGCGAGATGATACCATACCAGTCCTTACTTACTGTTGTTCCCCAAACAGTGTGGACACACTAGGGCTTCTTACGGTAGTAGAAAAGCAGCTGTGCTTAGATAGGTGTGCCGCGCGGGCGTGTCCGGCCAATTCGCTGCTATTTACAGTACATTCATGCCTCTCGACATCGTCAATGTGCATTTCGACTGCGCAGGCTCGCAGAATCTGGGGGCCGGCGGCGGGTGCTTCTAGCGACTGCGCTCTCGTTGTGTTGCCGTGCGCATTTTCGCGCATGGTGGTGACTTTTCGTGGCAGGTGCGAGGGAAACCTCGTGTTTTGGTACTCCAAAGACGACTTTTCGTGACAGGTGCAAGGGATCGGAGCTGTTTTTTTACTTGGTGGTGATCGTTGAGGAGATCAGATTTCGTCACAGGTGCAGTGAATCGCGACTTTTGGACATGTGGCTCGATTGCAGCTTTCGTCGCATGCCACAGCACTCTGTGACCCTCGATGTGCAGATTTCGTGGCAGGTGCAGCACTTTGTGAACCTCGAAGTGCAGATTTCGTGGCAGGTACAGCATCTGGTGAACCTCGAAGTGCAGATTTCGTGGCAGGCACAGCGTTTGGTGAACGTACGAGACTTCCTCCAAAGTGAAGCGCCAAGTCTCCACAACAAGCGTTTCAGACTTCCTCCAAAAGTCACGCGTCGACACGCGCCATCCCCGCAGAGGGTTGCTCGGGCACAGACACTATCGACGTTGCACCACACGTTGGAGCACTCGACATGCACGATCTCCGCAAAGAGGGTTGCCCGGGCCAAATCCAAAACGCATTCTCACCTGCATTTCGCGCCCTCGACGCGCACGATCTCTGCAGAGGGTTGCCCGCGACAAATCCAAAACGCAATCTCACCTGCATTTTGCGCCTTCGACGCGCACGATCTCCGCAGAGGGTTGCGCGCGACCGGGCCAAAACGCAATCTCACCTGCATTTGGCACCCTCGCACGATCTCCGCAGAGGGTTGCCCGCGACAAATCCGAAAGGCAATCTCACCTGCACTTCGCGCCTCGGCCTCGGCACGCACGATCTCCGCAGAGGGTTGCGTTTCGTGGTGCTCCGGCGGCACCGCCCCCGCCTTAAGAGAGAAAGGAAAGAAGAGCGAGAGGTGAAGACGTGAGATGTGCAGATGTGAAGATGTAGATGTAGATGCGCAGGTGTGAAGATGTGAACATGAGCAGAGCGGTAGATGTGCAGATGTGAAGATGAGCAGAGATGTAGATGTGCAGATG